GCACAACCTGCCCCCATATCATCTTTCCTCTGTCTGAATCCCGAAAACCCAGAGTCGAAACTCTTTCCCAAGTCGTTCTGAAAATGTATCCGAATCTAAAGTGGCAGACTGCGAACGTATCTGAATCTTAAACGATATGAGCAATGACCTCAACGTTTGTCGTGGTCGTGTGTGCCTGGCTGGAATTTCTGATGAGCATACCGGGATTTTGGGGAACAAAGGAATCGGGAGAAGAGATGGTTTGCCAGAACAGGATCCCGTTTTGCCCCTTTTCAACTTTCGGACTGCGAGACTTAACGCTGACCTTGTCACGTCTTCGAGATATCATAACCTGCATTCCGAGCCATTCAACCGGCTTCTTTTCTACGCATTCCCAAGACTTCATTCAGCTAAGAACCCAGAAATATCTTGAGGAATGTACCGACTGCGCTGTTTTCGCATAATTATATCTGTCGTTTTATTGTCTCTGCTGGTTTAAATGGAGATTGATGGCTTTCGAGCGATTCGGCACGAGCTCGGGTCTCTCGGAAAAGATCTCAAAGATCTGCGATTAGAGCTAAGATCGGCTTGGCATGCTAATTAGCGAATTCCAGTGGGCGGGGGGGTGGTCCATTCGAAAGCCCAACGTTTGACATTGAGCCAAGCTTTAAGACCCGTTTGCAGGCTGCTCAAAAACTAGTCTTTGGACCCCTAGTTTAGGCCACATATTATACATTGATTTAGCTCACCTTTTGGGATGTATCCAATTTTAAATTCAAATTCGAGTTGGCTAAAAAATATGAAATGAATTCGAAACTTTGTTATATAAACCATAAAAAAATGTTAAAAAAAAATAGTATTTGGTATAAAACACGCGACGCGAACTTAAAGATTTGTTTCTTGGCCAAAGGTTTTTATTTTTTTTTAGACTGGATTTTGGATTTTCGATTTCGGTTTCAGTTTGTTTTCGGTTGGTTTTGGTTTACCGATTTCACGCACAGTTTGGCCAAAAGCCCAGCTTGTTTTGGGTGTGACAGAGAGGCAATCTACTGTGTATCTCTCTCCCCCTTCAACTCTCTGATTCTCAGCGATATTTCTCCGCTCTGCGACTTCGTTGGCTGAGCTCGAACCGAAGACTGGCGGCTCGATTTTCGGACTGCTCGAACGAACGAGCGAAGAAAACGCGAAGACAAAGTCGCGTAGACGAGGTCCGTCGGCCCCACCACCCCCAACCCCTCCCATAGGCCCCCACCCCCAACCCCCTTTCTGCGTTCGTGCGCCAGGCGACAAAATGTCAAACGATCGCTGGGGATCCTTAACTGGTTTTACAGTTGTAACTCGCCGGGCTTACCCCTCCCCGAGCCCCCCTTCCCCTTTATATGCAATCTTTTTGGGCTCAACCTGCCCGAAGTGGTTTTATTTATTTTTAAGCCCAAGGAAAGTGGCAATCGAGTCAATAAGAATCAATCCTAAAGCGGTTTTCCAGAACAACCTTTATGAAAACCACTTAAAAAGTATCCTCTGATGATAAAAACACATAACCGAACGATCGAAATTTGAAACATAAATAAGTATCTTTAAAAAATAATATTTGTCTTGATAGAAGACAAACACGAAGGGTCGAGATGAGATAGGTATTTTTGATTTGGGAGAATTACTTTCTGTAGATCTCCATCAGCCCAAATTGTGCGATTTAATTGGCACATCCATTCTAAGTTATTTCGCTTCCTGTCACTCCCGTTGCATCTTTAATGGCTCCTTTCTCCCCAGCAATTTTCCATTGCCCGCTCGTCCCAATTCCGCCGAAGCGGTACCCAGTGGAAATATGAAAATTCCGCTTGAAATGGAGCAGAACCAAAGACAGTTCGATGCAATTCTGTCCAATCAAAAGTGCAATTGCAGAGGAAAATGCCAGATGGAATGCAGAAAATTGGGAAACGGGAATGCGAATATAGAATGGGGGCAGAAGCGAATGGGAATGGGTTTTGCCCCTCAATTTTCCACTGTGGAAAACCTGAAGGCAAGAAAAACTTTCAGCTTGGCAGAAAAACGGGCGAAAAGTGGCAAGGAATCGGATTGGTTCCAATTGCAATCGGCCAAGTTGACCAAAAACCTGTTGACGCTTTAAGGAAAAGCTCAAGTAAAGTCGAGAGAGGAAAATGCACACTGAGAGAAATAAAGGGCACCTTGGACACTTTGGTTATAATATTTAAATGCTATAATCGATTATAAATATTATTTGTTTTTTTTTTGAGGAAGCATAAAGAAGCAATCAGAAATAGTAATGCAATATATTGATATTCTTAACCAAAAAGCTAATTGTTAATAAAGTTAGTTATTTTGGATTTTTGTATATTATTTTGAAGTTTGGAAACTATTTTAAACTATACAGAACTTGTTTTCTAGTTAACTTAGTTAATAGTTAACCGAAAACAAGAACTGCCAAAATAACCCACAGAAATTATCCCACGCCAATTTTTTTTGGTTGGCAAATACATAAATAAATAATGGTACTTAATCCTAGTGCATGAAAAGCCAATCTCTCTTTTTTCTGTTTCGATCGATTTTCAAGAGATTCGGAGAGAGAAGAGAGGAGAGAGGAGGGGCGCCAAAGGAGGTACGATTTTGACTCAGCGCTCGAGGAAAAACGCGAAACAAGTTTTTCCGGTAGAAGTCGGAGGAATCTGGCTCATCCGCAGCTGCCCGCTGAAAGACAGAAAAATGGGAATAAAAAGAGAGGGGACAAGTGGAGAAGTTGTCAAGAATCTCGAGGCGAATCGATCAATAACCTTTTCATCAAATCCATTGGAGGGAAACGATAATTGGTTTTAAGATCTCTGATCCATTGGTCACCGATTCAACTCTGAAATGCGAGCAGTCAAGAAAGCTTAAGTCATCAAATGTCCACTCTAGTCGGTTATAATTTAGCTGAAGTAAGTTTAAATTAATTAAATATAAGAAATTATTATATATATAGGGAGTAATATTTAATAAGTAATATTTGCGAAATGGCATGCACACTATTGTAAACAAATATATTAATATTTAATAAATTCAAGATAATAAAAATAACAAATCTTCTTTATGATCTCCTGGTATCCCAGATATTCCTCTAACTTCCTCAAATGTTGGACGCACCCACGCATAAATACGGCGTTAAAATCGAGGAGCGGGGAAAGCATGAAATTGGCTGTAAATATCTTTCACCCATTGCAAAAGCTTTTTTTTGGCATTTTTCGAACATGTTTGTTCGTTGTTTTCCTTTTTTTCACTTGTTTACATTTTTTTCGCAGCCCGCCAAGTTAGTGGGCAAACTGGTTTTTATTTTGCAAATATGTGGGCATGGTCATTATTAAATTGTTCGAAAGCCACCAAACTCGAAAGAAGTGAGGTAAATATAATGTGACCTGCGGGAAAACATTTCTGTTTATTTTTGAACTCTTAAATAATAATAAAGTCAAACAATTAATATAACTAATAGTCACATTGCTGTTTTATCCCTTTTCGGGGGGATTAATAAGAAAACGATTTATTATTTACGTTAAGATTGTCACAAAAAACCTAATATGGTAATTTTACAAAAAAAAAAACATAACATCGATTCCCTGCGGATATGGAAATATACATTTTTTAGCTGATAATACTATTGGATTGGAAACTTATTATTAAAAGTAATGAATTCAACGAGGTATGACATTCCAAGATATGAATATTACTGTCAAGGGTTTTGCTTAAAACACTGAAAAATCAAGTTGCATTTTTCCGAATTTGGCCATCAAAAAAATACATTTTTTAAGGTTTTTTGTTGTAATTTTACCAAAAAAAAGGCCACAGATCCAAAAGAATGACTGTTTTGTGCAACTGAGAACCCATACAATCAATGCCAGGTGGATTTGGTAAAAAAAATTTTTTGACCGATTTCTGCATTTTTCATAAGGGGTAACACTTGATTTTTTTCCAAATATGGCCCAAAATAAAATTTTTGAGCTGAGAATACCATTCGATTGGAAATTTTATAACGAATTCAACGAGGTATGCCGTTCGAAGATCTGACCATTATTTCCAAGGGTTTTGATTAAAAAACTGAAAAATCGAGCTGTCTTTTTCTGGATTTTGGCCATCAAAAACGTGTTTTAAAAACACATTTTTTAAGGGTTTTTTGTTGTAGCTTTGCCAAAATAAGACGCACAGCGAAAAGAATGACTGTTCTGGGTAGCTGACAACCTACACAATTGATTCCAGGAGGTTTTAGTAAATTTAATTTTTTGACCGATTTTCGCATTTTTGATAAGGGGTAACACTTGATTTTTTTCCAAATATGGCCCAAAATAAAATTTTTGAGCCGAGAATACCATTCGATTGGAAATTTTATAACGAATTCAACGAGGTATGCCGTTCGAAGATCTGACCATTATTTCCAATGGTTTTGGTTAAAAAACTGAAAAATCGAGCTGTTTTTTTCTGGACCTAGGCTGTTTTTCTGCTCAGACTTTGTCACAGATAAATTTAAGAGCACAGTCAACATCAAAAGGATAATTGCCTTATACATTTAGAAAGCTATTACAGTTTTAAGATGATTATAGTTAAACACTTGATTTTTTTCCAAATATGGCCAAAAATAAAATGTTTGAGCTGAGTATACCAATCGATTGGAAATTTTGTAACGAATTCAACGAGGTATGACATTCCAAGATCTGGCCATTATTTCTAAGGGTTTTGATTTAAAAACTGAAAAATCAAGTAACATTTTTCCGTCCATAAAACCTTTTTTTAATGGTTTTTTGTTCATAACTTCGCCAATATAGACCACAAAGGCCAAAGAATGACTGTTTTGTGCAGTTTGGATTTGAAAAAAATTAATTCTTTAACAGATTTTTGCATTTTTCAAAACGGGTTTCATAACTTTCTGCTGTGAATGCCAATTAATTGGGAATTTTATCGCAAGTTAAACGAAGAGAAACATTTCAAATTTTCTACACTACCACAAAATCCCAGCAATTTTTAAGTTAACTTTTCTAATGTATTTTTGCTTTCACAACTTGTTGTTTATTTACAGGACAGCTTACAAATTAATAAAAAAAAAAGTGGATTTCAGGAGGGGAATCCTTTGGAGATGTGAAATCCTACCAGCTGCCTGCATATGCATTCGCCGAGGCCTTGGCATATGCGCCATTGCCCCCTCCGCCGCCGCCGCAGGAATGGCAGCCACCACCTCCTCCTCCGGAGCTCCAACTGTTGGCATTGGCACTGCTGCTGGCGTAGGAGCCACCGCCCCCGCCTCCGCCTCCGCCACCACCCCACTGGGAAGGTCCTCCGCCACCGCCTCCTCCATGGTAGCCACCACCGCCTCCTCCGTGGTGTCCACCACCACCGCCTCCTCCGTGGAAACCGCCTCCTCCGCCCCCGGGATATCCGCCTCCTCCGCCACCGCTGTACACTGGCTTAACCACATACACGTCTATGGTGCTTCCTCCTCCACCGGGATATCCACCGCCTCCGCCTCCATGATATCCGCCTCCACCGCCGCCGTGATATCCACCGCCGCCACCACCTCCGTGGTATCCTCCTCCGCCATTGTAGCCGCCTCCGCCACCATGGTATCCTCCGCCTCCGCCATTGTAGCCACCTCCTCCTCCTCCGTTATGGCCTCCACCGCCACCCCAGCCTCCTCCGAGTCCGCCACCTCCTCCGAGTCCACCACCACCTCCGAATCCGCCACCACCTCCGAATCCGCCACCGCCACCGAATCCTCCGCCTCCACCGCCAAAGAGCAGCTTCTTCTTGAGCGCCAAAAGCGACGGAGTGGTGAAGTCCACGCAGCTGGCCAGGATTAGCAGCCAGCAGGCGAAGATGAGCCAGTGCCTCATCTTAGTTGGTGAGTTGATTAGTTGGTGAGTTGATGTTGCAGTTCCGGTTTCTGTTTGCTGACGCTCCTCTAATCCGTTCTATTCAGAGCTGCAGCTGGTGGCCAACTAGTCATCCCACTGAATAGTGCATTCCGCTTTATATATGACATCCATTGTTTGCGATCGCACCGTTGTCGTCATCACTGGGAGCCATCGAATTCTCTCAGGCGATCGGGTTTGAAAAGATCGGGGGAGTTTACCTATACAACACTATCGAAAGCCGGCGGGCATTAAACATTAATTACTCAATGGGTCAGTGGAGATACTAATATCGGGGACTCACCGATGCTCTGACTATGTACTATGCTTTCAGAAATTGTTTCTTTATTTTTTCCTGATTTAAGTTATCTATTTTCCTAATTCAGCTTGGTTTCTCGGACCCACGATTTTGTAAAAGTTTTACATCTATCTTAGACTAAAGAAGAGTTTTCCACGCGTATAGAATATTAATCAGTTTTCCATGAGTATAGAATATTAATAAAGTTTGAGGTCACCCAGAACTTATTAAATTTTAGTACAAAATAAATAAATACTCTGGCTAAAACACTAAATAATAGAAACAGTAGGGGACAAATTTCACAAGTTATTTGTGAAAAAATTAATAAATATATTTTGTAAAAATATAAATTACCTACAAAAATATGGCTTATTAATATATTCATTTTGATCTAATCTAATTATTGTTATATTTTCTTTACAGGATACGCTTATAAATTAAACAGGTATGTAAACATTACGCATACGCCAGGTGTACCCGAAATCAGGCAGAGTATTGGCAATTATATGCATGACATCTGCTGGAAAATCCCTCTTACTCATCTGCCAACAGGGAGAGAATCAGATATAGAGTTGGATATATTGGGGAGAGCAGGGTCGACTGGATTTTCAATTAGAATCAACGATCAACCAAGAGAAAACTCAGACCAACTAATGGCCACTTATCTGATGATAGAAATATGCCAACATAGGGTCTTTAGCTAAGTTCAATCCAAAGAAAGTGCATTCGAAGTTCGTTGATCGAAATATTTGAATCTATTCGAGGCTCATCAGCATGTGAGAAGCAATTGGCGACTCAGCTGCATATCTTTATTTTGTAAAATCGCGAAAATCCCCGCAATTGAAGCAGTTGCCTCAAGGAAGTCCCATATTTCCTGGTCTCTCAAAAAAGGGAATCCGGGTCACAGTCCAACGAATATATGACTCTCTAGGCTTAATTGATGCTGAAGCCCTTGCACAATGTCATTTCTAAAAATTTAATTTTTTTTAAATAACTGTAAAGGAATTTTATATCGAAGGGAAGTTAATTTGCTTAGATGTTTTTTGGCGCTTCTAAAAGTTAATGTTGTAAAGAAGGTATTTCTACTAATTATACCCCGACCCCAGTAATAGTTTCGTGTGTTTTGTTTGTGGTAAGAAAATTTTTATTTTGATAATACAGAACTGTAATTAAAACTAATACAATTTGAATTTAAATAAAAAGACGGAAGAATAGACATCAGGGTTACACTGGATGGTCTCGCTTATCAGATCAGCTTTACCAACGAGATCCATGCATCAGATCTTGGAGTCACCACCGGAGTATTTTTAGTGTTTCGTTTGGGGATCGTCTGGGATTTACCATCCGCCGCCTCCTCCGTGCTTGCCACCTCCTCCTCCGTGCTTGCCACCGCCCCCGCCACCCCCTCCTCCGTTCTTCTGCCAACCTCCTTGACCACCGCCTCCTCCACCACCCTTCTGCCAGCCTCCTTGGGAACCACCTCCACCCTTCTGCTGCCAACCTCCCTGACCACCACCTCCTGCTCCACCAGCATTTCCACCGGCAGAGGCGATGGCGAGGAGCACTCCGAGTAGGAAGACTGCGAGCAGAGTGAAGCGCATGATGGGTTGGATTTCTGGAGAGGAACTACTGGCTGTTGCAGAACGGAAACTAATGACCCAAACCCGACTAAGGTCCAGTTTATATAGTCTCTGGTTAAGATCTAGGCATATCTGGTTGCTGCTCACAGCATAAAAAACCTGTGATCCCGATCTTGAGCTGGCAATCCAACCAGAAAACCACTTTAAAACTGTTGAGCCACCAGGGGATCATTAATTATGTGGGTGCTTTATAAGTAAATTCCACGGTATATACCGGGGTATATTCCTTTGCCAAAAATGTCTTCAGGATGAGATACAAAAAAAGATAGTCGTATGTTAAATTATATTTCATTTACATTTTTGTAACCTTTTCTTTCCCAAGACTTGGCTGTAATTTCTAAGACTTTTGTATATTCTTTACAGGGTACAAAACACCCAAGAATTAAATTCACATGGCGACCTTGATAACCTCTCGTTGTCTTAAACTTTCTCTGGCAATAAAACTAGCATGTGGGAGATAAAATCAACAAATATTGAAGCTAACAGAACGTAAGTCTCGAGTGTGAAGCACTTAAATTGAAGTAATTCCACGTGACCCTAGAACTTAGGCTACCATAGCAACCAAGAATTGCATTAATTGAATGTTTATAAGCAGGTAATCGTAAGCTAGCTTTAATACAACTACCATAAAATTACCCAAGGGCTTTTTAATATGACCAAAGAGTATTTTAAATACTTGTATTTAATAATAATAATAAAAGTTTCAATAGTATTCTTAAGATAGCTTTAAATAAATTCCATACGCTTAAAAACATTTACATTATAGTTATTCCTATACGTTTATCCGATTTCAAAGCATTTAAATATAGTTGCATAAGATCATCTTAAGGGTTAATAATAAGATTATCCTAAGTCTATGTAATATAAACAAATAAGGAATGAATTAATATTATACTAGAATTTAGCGCACAGTATTGTTACTATAGTTCTTACGATAAAAATGTTTGTAATATGTTATCATAATAAAATAAACATAAAAAAGTAAATCTTGTTTTCATAGTTGTACATGTGTGGGAAACTTTGATATTCATTAGTTGGGTTCGAGTCCGTAATAAAATAGATTTGGAAAAGTCGCGTAGAAAAAATGTAAAATTACACCAATATTTTTTAAATGGGTTTTGCTGGATATCTCGGTCAATATGCGACGAACTGCCAAAACAATGCCCGTTTTCTACTCTTGAGGACAAACATCATTACCTTTTTTTATTCGTACCTCTTCAAAAAATTTGATTTTTGCAAAATCTATCAAAAAATCGCGCAGTTTCATAATTTTTATGATGTTACCCCTTTCCAAAAAATGGGTTTGCAGAAAAAGGTCCAAAAACTGCACTTCTACTCTCATAACTTTTCTTACAGACATCCAATTTCAAAGTGGCATACCTCAAAATGATCGTGGTTTGATTCCCTAAAAATCTGTGTTTTTAGATTAATTTGTTTTTTTTGGGTCGAGTTTTCGTCATATTTAAAGATGTAACCCCTTTCCAAATTTTCAAAAAATGGGTTTGCTGAAAAGTGTCCAAAACCTGCACTTCTAAGCCCATAACTTTTCTTACAGACATCCGATTTTAAAGTGGCATACATTAAAATGATCGTGGTTTGATTCCCTAAAAATCTGTGTTTTTAGTTAATTTTTTTTTTTTGGGTCGACTTTTCGTCATTTTTAATGATGTAACCCCTTTCCAAATTTTCAAAAAATGGGCTTGCAGAAAAGTGTCCAAAAACTGCACTTCTACTCTCATAACTTTTCTTACAGACATCCAATTTCAAAGTGGCATACCTCAAAATGATCGTGGTTTGATTCCCTAAAAATCTGTGTTTTTAGATTAATTTTTTTTTTGGGTCGATTTTTCGTCATTTTTAATGATGTAACCCCTTTCCAAATTTTCAAAAAATGGGCTTGCAGAAAAGTGTCCAAAAACTGCACTTCTACTCTCATAACTTTTCTTACAGACATCCGATTTCAAAGTGGCATACTTCAAAATGATCGTGGTTTGATTCCCTAAAAATCTGTGTTTTTAGTTTAATTTTTTTTTTTTGGGTCGAATATTCGTAATTTTTATGATGTTACCCCTTTCCAAATTTTCAAAAAATGGGTTTGCTGAAAAGGGTCCAAAAACTGCACTTCTAAGCCCATAACTTTTCTTACAGACATCCAATTTCAAAGTGGCATACCTCAAAATGATCGTGGTTTAATTCCCTAAAAATCTGTGTTTTTAGTTTTTTTTGGGTTGATTTTTCGTCATTTTCAATATTTCAAAATATAGCTTTGCCGAGGTATCCTGCAAAACCACTGCCAAAAAAATTAGTCCGAAAATTGTTTTTGCAGTATACCTTGCCTAAAACGGGACCTACAGTGAAAATAACGATTGTTTTGTATTGCTAATGACCTAATCTAACGATCCCCACCACTCTCGTTCCGATCCCGATCAATACATTTTTAGTCAGAAAATCGATTATTTACTGATGTAACCATCATGGAAATTGGCGATTTTTTGACCGAAAACAGAGAATCCTTTTACAATTCCAACGAGCTATGGAATTTCATGCGTTGGTCACGTTATCCTGCGTTTTAGGCAAAACAAAGTGATTTTTCGGAGTGCCTGTATATGGTGGGCGCTAACAAAAGTATGCAACAGTTTGGCAGCTAACAGAAAACTGCAGCAGCCCAGAAGTAGGCTACAAAATGTACACGTTTTTAAATCTTTCGTTTTATTTTAGTGTTGCGTATTTAAGCTGTGCCATAAAAAAGACCATGACATCGCCGAAACAAAGGTATTTTCAAAAACATTTGTTACTTTTATTCATGACGCAGTTTATAGTATTTGCAATGATTTTAAAAAGTAACAGTTTACGGGACATTTATTTAATATTCAATTTGTGTGTTTCAAGCAAATGCTATTTGCTACATAGTCTCAAGCTTAATTTAGTAACAGTTCTGTGGGGCAGAGTAACAAATTAAAAAAAATAATAGCTTCTTGGATATGTACAGTATTTACAAGTGTGTGGATTGATTGCTTCAATGGCTTCCTAGGACTTTAGGCTAGGTTTTATGCCCAGCCTCCAGCGGGCTGCCAGCCGCCGCCGCCACCGCCTCCTCCAGATGACCAGCCTCCGCCGCCACCTCCTCCGTGGCCACCGCCTCCTCCGCCTCCGGAGCTCAGCTTGATGATCTTGATGACCTTGGTGCCACCACCACCGCCGCCCCCGTGGCCACCGCCTCCTCCTCCGCCAGATGACCAACCGCCTCCGCCTCCTCCGCCAGATGACCAGCCGCCTCCTCCGCCGCCTCCACCATGGCCTCCTCCACCGCCTCCGGAACCCAGACTGATGATCTTGATGAGCTTCACATCACCACCGCCTCCACCTCCTCCATGGCCGCCGCCTCCTCCTCCTCCAGAAGACCAGCCACCGCCTCCTCCGCCGCCTGAAGACCAGCCACCACCTCCTCCTCCGCCTCCCGAGGACCAGCCGCCTCCACCACCTCCTCCGCCGCTCTCCGTGATTACTTTGATGATCTGTACATCTCCTCCGCCGCCTCCTCCGCCGCCATGGCCACCACCTCCTCCTCCTCCAGAGGACCAGCCTCCTCCTCCTCCTCCGCCCCCTCCAGAGGACCAACCTCCACCTCCTCCGGGTTTCGGTTTGGCCGTCACGCTGGCCGCTCCAATGAGCAGAAGACACACAAAAGCCTGAAACGTTAGTTAGAAAACACTCTATGAGAATCACTTGAAAAAAATAATGAGAACACTGTGCGTATGGGCAATATTTTGATTTAAAAATATATAATTCTTTAGTTATCCTGGCGAACGACTAGCCATACTTTCATCGCTTGGAACGCTCCGTTTGGGTTAACTAGTGGGTTAAGTGCGAATCCACAACTGACATGACCACCGATGGCAGCCACAGTTTTTATACCAACCAGAGGTAACATAACATTAACCGGAAAAGCTTGGCGCTGCCAGAAAGCAAAAGGAAAAACCATTTTCCCGCTCACCGTGCGGTCGACAGATGTTGGAGATGCTGCTGGAGCACTGCAAGAAATTAGGGGATATTTTCAGATATATTTATTTTTTTATTTTATTTCATTTAAAATGAGTCAATATTTTAAAACTCATATTTATTTCGTTTAAGATTACGTTTAAAACTCAAAAATTGGTTTTTTACTTAGAGACTGCTTATGTTATAATTAAAAACCATTTTTAAATAAGCTCTTTTAGTAGTTTCGTTATTGTTTTCAATATAAAAATAAACTTTCGTAATTGTTTTAAATATAAAACTGAACCTTAAATACGTTTTGAGAGTCCAAGAAAATAAAATCACGAAGTAGTAAACACAATTAATTTGAAATTGAATTTAAATTGCCCATTTTCCCACCTGTACCTGGGCTGAGCCACCACGTTGGCGCAATGTGGGCCAAATGCTGCCGCATCATCGTCGCGAGTTCGCCATTAGTCAGGGGGAGGATTCAGGGAATGGGCCTTAGTTTTGGGATCTCTTAGAGCTGGGATGTTGCGGTGGGCTGGGGGTGGGGGTGGGGGTGGTGTTGGAGGTGGTGGCGTCAGTAGACAGCAGGGGAAAGCTGCAGACAACTCATAACTGCAACGGCATTCGATTGTCGCATCTGCAACAGTTTTTAGCCGGCCCAAGATGTGTTTGTATAGCAAATGCGCATCTCTTGGCAGACAAGTTGCTGCTGCACCTTTCCCATTGCATAATCCGCAGCAGCAACTGCAGCAGCAACATCGCCGGTCGCAGCAGCAACATCAGGCCAACTTGCAACTTGCGGCGTTGTTCAATTGATGCCATTATTTGATTTGCATCTGGGGAATATCGCTGGCAATTTGGCCCAAAACGATGACAAAGCCCGACGATCGCAATGGCCAGTCGATCCATCATCTTGGGCGTGACGACGGCGCATTCGATGCGGACACAAATCGCGGAAAACCAGAAAATCACCGCAGCCAAAATGTATTCCAAAATATGGCCAAATGTGCAAGTGTGCAGGCAGATTGGCCAAAACCCCGATTTGTCGCGGTGGAATTGAGATGGTTGATCAGAGAAGGGAAAATGCCATATGCTAATTTTTTCAAGTTGATCCAAGGAAAACATTTTCTGGCTGTATTGCCAAAATCTACCGAGCTACTGAGCTAAAACAAATAAAATGGTACTTATACATCATCAACAGTTGAATAAAGTGTTTTCGATTAAAAATTATACTCCTTGTCTCAATGTTTATATACTTTTAATACACACTACGGTCATAAAAGTAGAAGTATAGGCAATTAAGGATGTTAATCACTAAAGAGCCTTTTTACCACAGGGTCGAAGAGTCAATTTAAAAACCATCACCATAAATTTGATATATTTTTGATATTTTCGAAGACATTCGAGAAAAGAGTTTTCAATTTAAGCTGCTGATAAACAGGATTGAAAATAATTATTTTGTAATATCACAAGCTTTATGATTTCACATCATAAATATACTACCAATTGAAAAGAGATGGCCTTATCTTACACACTAAATATGGATCTAGTCAGTGACTTAACTTTCCGACATAATGATCATTTGCATATGGGTGTTTTCAAGCTCCGTGAAATGCAATTAACACGCAGAAACTCCCCTTTTGAAGCCCCTTTTCTCCCATTAAGAAGGGGGCGTGGCCACAGTTCACTAATTGCAGATGGTTCCCAAACGAAAGTGCAATTTGAGCGGTATAATAAATCCCGCATCAGCATCTCTTACACAATTCGTAAGCACATATAGAAATAAGTAGTAGAAGGTGACACGTGAAAAAGGGGGAAAAGGCGGCATAAACAAAGTAAGCAAACTGGCGTCAATTGCAACGACCCAGACGCGAATTTCCAACGCAACTTGTAAGTTGCAAGTTGCTGCTGTCACCGTCAGTTGCTGTTGCAAATTCAAAGTGACGAGTTGCAAGTTGCCAGCCGAAGACGCAACATCGTATCCCAAAAAGAGCTGAAGGTGAGCACAATTGTGGGCGGCTGTCGATCGCAGATTGTTGGGCGTGTCAAACTTTTAACCAGCAGACAACTGATTATTTACATAGTTGCGAGGCGTTTAAGATGGGATCAACATCTGAATAACTGAATAATCTGGCAAAAAAAAGGTGCCAATATAGCTGTGATTTTAGTTTAAGTCATTGCCATCATCTCTTTTTAAAAGGGAATCGTGTCTTCTTTCTTTCAACACCCATTTTGCACTACATGAAACATTTCTTAACACCAAATTGCAACATATTGAAATCAAGTTATATAATTGAACAATTTTGAACGATATTTACCTGCGAGTATCAACTTGACATCGAGCAGTTTTTCTTCTCTAAAGTTGAGGCCTCGAGCAGCTATCATCCAGCATCCAGATTCCAGCCAGCATCATGCAACGAGGAAGCGCAGCCACTGCGACCTATGGCAGATGCCCAGTTGCAGTTCCATTCGGGTCTGCATTTGGGTCTGCCCCAGCCAGCCGCATTACTCCCCCTCCTCCTCGGAGTCCCCCTCCTCGAAGTGGCCACCAGTTTCAGTAGTGTAGTGGAGCAGCGGGTCAACGTTCCGCGGGCTTCGTTTAAATTACAATGCGGCGCAGGCGAAAAACGTGTTTGCTGCCTCTATGAACTTATGATACTTTTGGTGTGTGCCGCGTGTCCCCTCCTCCCCGCCCCTGCCCCTCCCCTCCCGACATTTCCCACATTTCGGCTTGTAATTTTCGTATCGAAGTGGGGGTTTTTTTTTGCCAGCGAGACAAAAGCACTCAGTGGATCAAACAAGAGAGGCAACCTTCCAGTGATTTCCGGATTGTTGCGCCACCGCGTTTCCTGCTTCGATGGGCCGGCCAAATAAATCACCACATGCACATCCTCCCGGCACTTATGAAACACCGATCGCACCGATCTTGATCCTTTCTCCATTGAAATAGGTCCCAATAGCTCAAGCACTTGTCGTACACTTTTTGGTTTATTCGATAGTTATGCATAGGTTTCGTTATCGTTAGTAATTAGGTAATTTAATTAAGTTTAAAGTGATGCTCTCTGTTTACATTGCATGGGCTCCTTCATCAGTTGTCCTAAATTGTATAATTAATTTGTAATCTCTGCTCTCTCGTTTCGTTAAATATTCAATTGGTTAATTATTGCAAACGTTACACGATTATATATACCCCATATACATATAGAGTTGTACGTACAAGTAACGCTTATAATGCTTAGACATAGGCATATGTATGTTACGATATTATAGCTATGAGTATCCAGCCCAGAATTGAACTATTTATAGAGCCAAAAAAATGAAGGAACAGCACTCAAAAAAAAAGGTGGTCGGGATAGGGGTGTTACGAGTATTTAAAGATAATTTTCTATGCGAAGACTAGACTGATTGATCGCTTTATACAGACCGCGCTCTCTTGACTAGACATGCGATGGCTAGATGACTAGATGACAAGATGACTAGATGACTAGCTAACTAGCTGACTAGATGGTTGATGGTTGGACAGACGAGTCCGAGGGGTTCCATTTTGCTCCTCTCTTCGTTAGCAACACCTTTCAGGTACTTGGAAAACATCCTCGCGGGGGCAAACGGAACCCTGAGTTGTGGTTGGTTGGAGGTGGACTCAGCCAGGAGAGCTGCGATTCCCGGGGAATACGGCACGTCAATCGCTCAATCCGGGCGAGATCATGCCGTCTATGGGCTCCAGCTATTGTTCCATTATGATCGTGTCCTCGGACTTCACGTTGCCGGAATTGATGGCCTCCATGGCCTTGCTCAGCAGGGTGGCGTCCTTCAGGCTCACCACCTGCACCAGCTGAGGCTCCTGGCCAGGACCGCCCTGGATCATCATCTGGTGCATTCCGGGCGACATGGTGATGGTCTCCAGTTGGTCGCCATTCTCCACCTGTTGGGTGAGAGAGAAAAAGTTCGAAAATGAGTAAAATAGTCATACAATATATGCATTAGCTGTGTGGATCGGGTGGCTCTTCCTTAATATTCTTCCGTCTCTATCTGGCAAATAAAAACACAAAAAAAAGCATACAAAATATAAGGATAAATTCATAATAACAAATCATACTTACACCAAATCATTGAAAAATCAGGGCTAGCAAGTATGAGTACCAATAAATAAAAAATAATCAAAATGTTCAAAGTCATTTGCTGGTTTATTTAGCATTTCTGCTTACACAATCTTTACTAGCAAATAATTAAAAGTCAAATTATAATAAAATCACAACAACAAAGGATTATTCAATAAAATTTGTTGGCTTCTCATTCGCTCCATTTTGCACTTCACTCTTACCTTGTTTAAACATAAAATTTTCTCTAAAACAACTAAAATAATAGCGATACATAAAAAATTAAACATGTCAATACAATAATAATGGTAATAGTAATAGTAATAGTAATAGTCAAAATGATTTGAATAAAACACAATAGCAATAATAATGGTAATAGTCATAGATCAACATAAAATTAATTTTGCACGCACTTCGAGGTGAATATATCGAATATCCCCTCCGCATATGTATGTATATAGCACATATATATCTCCGGACTTCTAAAGCTAATTAGCTCCAATGGCAAACTGTTTCCCCCTCTTTCGCGCATTTTCAATGCGAATTGACTACGTTTCGGGGATTGATTGGTGGGTCAAAAGGTCAAAAAGGTGGCTTGACGATGGGCTAAAGGTCACGAGGTGACAAGTACGGCTGATCCCTGTTTGCTTTACTACTTACTGGCTAGAACTAACCCAATTGTACAACTTAAATTGGTTAATATTTGGTTTGTGTTGCGCTCTAAGCAAGATTATGTGCACGATTATATGTACTCCACTACTTAACTACTAAAACTAGAAAATGTGTAAATGTTTTATAGCTCTGTTAACTAGGAACAATTTTAGTTTTTGATTTTGGTTTTTGGTTTCAATGGTCAACAAATTTTTTGGTGTTCTCTTCTCGGCACTAAATTCAATTCGTATAGTTAGTATATCTGAGGCTTTTCCCTTGCTTCTACTAATTCATTTGGGTTATTTGGCATTCACAATGTGTGTGTCTAAGTTTAAATGGCAAGTGCATCCGTGCTATCCTTCGTATTTTCTTAGTTTCTCATATGTTTTTTGTTTTTTGTGTTTTGTGCAAAGCCGCATTTGACTAGATTCGAGATGGGCTGGATTGTTGGGAGGAGGACCCTACTCCTGGTGCTCCAGCTTGATGGCCGGCAGTTGGAGCTGCACGCTGGTCAAACTGGCGCTGTCCACGCACCGAATGGAGGAGGAGTTGCCGGAGGAGCAGCCGCTCTCGCTGGCTTTCAAATGGGACCTGCTCTTTAGGGATGCATTTGGCTTTCTCCGCCTCTGGACCACCACCACTCCTGCTCCGGCTGCAGCTCCTCCTCCGGATCCACTAATCCCGCCCCTCCTGGTGGACCTCGTGCTGGCCACCTGCGCCAGACTAGGCGTGGCCAGCACAATGGGCATCGGCATCGGCATCTTTATGCTATTATTGTTATTCGCCAGGGTTCTGTTATTGTTGTTGAGGTTACCAAACCCACTGGTGGAGCTGCTGGTTGTGCTACTACTGGTGGTTGCGGTGGCCAGGTAGTAACGCCCCCCCGGAGCAACCTGCTGACCCACCACCGCACCACTCCGCCGGCCCAAGACTGCCGATCCCGTCGAGATCAGCGAATAACACTGAACGCCCCCATTTCCTGCCAACGAGGAGGAGGCGGAGGAACTGTCGGCGGTGGGCGTGGTGCGATTGGCACTCGTATCTACCTGCATGGGCGCCAGGCACACCGTTCCATCGCTGTTCGTCTGGATCTGCTGCATGTTGGCCATCACGGACTGGTACATGGAGACGGGCACCGAGATCACATTGCTGACCGAAACGGGATAGCCTGAAAAAGAAGCAAGAGGAAATATGTTGAATGAGAATAAACGTGGTATTTTTACTTGATGACATATTATAAATCTACTGTTTGTTTTATTATTAAAATTAAACGATTTATCTGGTTATGCTAGGCATCCAATTTTAACCGCAATTAAATCTCCAGGGTTAATAAATACCTTGGCCATCCTCGGTGGTGATATATATTTGGCCATCCTGCGTCTCGGTTAGATCCACGGTCATGTTTTCATGCCCGTTGACATCGGTGAGACTCTGAACCGTCTGAATGGTGGCTCCGCCCTCGCCTTGGTGGAGCTATAAAATACCATAGTTGTTAAGGAATCGCACAATAATAAACACCACTAGATGAACTCACCGTGGCAACTCCTTGGACCTGGGCAGTTGTTCCATCCGGAAGTGTGATGATGGGGTTATTGGGATCCACCTGGATCAGCGACACAGTGCCATCAGCATTTTGGGAGAGCACCGTTTGCGTGGTGTACTGTATTTAATAAGTAAAACCAAGTTAGTTTCCAAATAACTTAAGGGAAGATTGAGTATTTAAAACCAAATTAAGCAGAGTAATTAAAATAAATTAAAACACTACCAAATGCAAAACAAGCAGGCAATAATAATAATGGATACAAAAAAGGTAAAAATTAGATTGTTTTCACTTCTTAGGTTTGTGGAGTGGTTTAAATCGTATTTACATGTCGGGACGATTGTGCGATTTGTGATGGATGCAAATAATGATGAAAATAACCAATAACTCGATAACAACCAGCTGCAAAAGAAAGACAAACAAACAACAAAAAAATCATATAAAATCAGGTTAAATCAAAAGAGAACCATCGGGAGCAACAACATCAAGGCAAACGATAAGCAACAGCAACAACAACGCAAGATTGAGCCAAACAAAATTTTTGGAACATAATAATTGTGGGAAAGTGGGCCAAGACTTGCAAACAATGCACAAAGATTTTCAAAATATATTAAACTATTTTTAAACAAGAGAGTACATATGTTAATTTACTATTCCTAGTTCATATACTCTGTATAAATTCCTGTTGTAGATTTAATATATGACTAATCATATATTTTTAGAGAATTAAAGATTGTCTATCCCACATTTTGTTATCAGTATGCTGAAATTTAACCTAAGCTGAGAATACTTTGTTTACAGATTTTAATCAAATCAAAATATAAGTGCTAAAGGTTTAGCACTTCAGTTTACAGATTTTCAATATAATTGTAAGCTAGTTAATCAGTTCCTGTCTCCTATTTTAATTGCCCTGCTATCTAGTTTAAAATGTACTTTGGGATCACTGTTCTGCCATAGTTTCTGAACGTTAAAGACTTCTTCATTATCATATGATGGATGAGTATCCCTAGAGTGCAAAGTCTAGCAAGTCCCGACCCCAATCCCGGCTCGATTAGTGGGTACAACGGCAATTCATCCGGGTTAGTACGAACATCAACGTCGCTGAGCGTAATGGGCTCGATGCAGACTTGGGCATTGGCGATCTGCTGGGCAGTGACTGTCTGGTTGCCGCTCGACTGGGAGTGCTGGTGCGCCTGGGCCTGCGAATGCTGGTGCTGATGCTGGTGTTGATGCTGGTGGGCCTGGGCGGCACTCACGGCGGCGGCCGTCGTCGGCACCGCGGTGGCCGTCGCCGTCCCACTGGCCGTGGTCAACTGGATCGTCTGCGGCTGCCCGCCGGCCACCGGCTGGATGTGCACCGTGCTGGGCAAGTGGGTCTGGTGGTGCTGCTGGTGGGTCTGCTGCTGGTGGTGCTGCTGCTGCTGTGTTGGCGCCTGGCAGATCTCGATCTTTGTGGAGGCGGGCAGCGTGGCCGTCGTGGTCACATGCTGGTTGTTGGTGCTCTGGATGATCGTCGGAGCTGGCGTGTTGCTCTGGGCCGTATGTGTCGTGATCACCGTTCCAGCACTGTTGATCTTCACCACGTTCACCTGCTGCGGTTGCTGTGATGGTGATTCGATGTGGATTGGATTTTTGATGGATTAGTATGGTGATATATGCTTTTCCAAATGCCGGGTGCGGATTAATAAAGGGTGTGAGTTATCCCAGGGACATGGCAGTAAAACTATGTGGCATAATAAGGTCGAAAAGATCCGACCCTGCGATTAAGTGTACTTGAGTATCAGTCGACGTCTCACTATGATTTTTTATGGAAATATGGACTAGTTTTATGTAGTTTACAAGAGAGCACCGTTTGTTACCCGTGAGATCCCGAAAAAGAACAGCCGAAACCCTAAGTGTAGAACCCCTGGTACACTCACATTGCTGTTGCCCGTTGGCGGCGTCATGGTCGTGACCGTGTGGATGGTGGGAGGATTGGAAAGCTCCATGTCCTCGTCCTCGTCGCCCGACTGCGAAATCAGCGCGTTGACCTTGTCCTCGTCGTCGGCAAAGGTGGGCAGCAGGTCCTCCCTGCCGTGGTACTTGTAGCAGTTGATCACGATCTTGCGCAGCGCGTGCGTCCAGCTGATCTGGAAACGGAAAAGGGACACACGGTTAGCACAGTCCAACGGAGATCGGGGGCGGCTGTTGGAACACCCACCCCACCCACCTTCTGCTTGTCGTCCTCGGAGCGGGCATCCATCCTCACATTCGCCCAGGGCAGCTCCTTGGGCCACCAGGGCGGTCTGGTCGACTCCCTGCCCCATCCGGGCTTCCCTCGTCCCGTCGAGTACTTCAGCATCAGCGGGATGAAGGCTCGCAGCTGGGCCTGGGTCATCTTCTCCACGGGCGTGGGTATGCCGTCGATCACCAGCCCGGGAAGTTCGAAGAGCGACGGATCGTCCTGGGGAGGCGGTGGCGCCTGTTGGGCCAGCGCATTGTCCAGTTCGTCCATCACAATGTTCTTCAGGTTGCGCAGCACATCCTCCAGTGGCTTGGCCCCGAACACCTTGTAGCTAGTGTTGGGTTTGCCCGGCGTGGCCACCAACACCACCGCCTGTTTGCCCACTCTGCCCGTGAACTCATAGATGATCCCTCTCAGCTTGCGCAGCAGGCGATTCTGTTGCCTCTTCCTGACCGAGGGATTCGTTTCGAAGCAATGGGGTCTCTTGCGCTTCTTGGAACTCGCGATGGCCGCCGCTGCTGCCACGCCAATTGGTCCTGCGGCTGCCAACTGGTGGGCCACGTCGTCATTCACGGGCATGGAGCCCAGATCTCCCTCGTACAAGCTGCCATCGCTGCTGATCAGATCCTCGTCGTCGTCCTCGGAACCCATGCTCTGCATATCCTCGTCCAGCATTTCTATTTTGTAGGTGGTGCCGTTGCTCTGGGAACTGTTGCCGGCACTCTGCAACTGGCCGCCACCGCCTCCTCCGCCCGTCGTTGTGATGGTGGTCACATTGAGGCCGCCGCCCGAACTGCTGCCCCCGACGGGAGTTCCACCGCCTCCTCCGCCGCCATTCCCTCCGTTCGAGGAGTTGCTGCCCGAGGAGGTGGTGGTCACCACCACATTGCCAGCCGAACCTCGCTGGCTGCCCGCCGGCGCCACAACCAACCGATAGCTTGTGGTGGCCAGTTTGGCGGTGGGGATCCCTGATCCTCCCTGATCCCTGCTCCTGATCCTCTCCTCTCCTCGCCTCAGACCTTCTTCACTGGATTCCCGAAGGTCTTATTCGCATGCGCAGTGTGATAAGAGCTGTGTGGAAAAATAAAAAGAGAGGAATGTTTTAAATTATTTCAGGTTTGTGATAACGAACCAATTAAACGAGGCGCAGAGCGCGAAAAACAAGGGAGTAGTTTACAGACTTATTGCTACCCAGTACCTATACTTTATAAGTCCCCACGGAGATACAGAGAATATTTTCTAAATAAAACCGTTTTAAAATACACAAATGTATGTATTCAAAGTTTTAATGGTATAATATTATACGACACATTGTTATTAAAAAAGATAATAAAGAAATGTTAAGTTTTGTATTCATAAAATGCTATAGTATTATGACATACGCTGTGATCAAATTCTATAATATTATGACAAACTTTGTTACCTATTATAAAAACAATGTATTCATAAAGCAATTCACCCCGAGCCCAAACGAGTTTCCTTAAAGGGTTGTTTACTTTCCCCTAGACAACAATGTTTGCAGTCGAAATGTACGCCCATATCATGACAAGTAGAGGGTATATCACCACCGAACCCAGGACTTGTATCATTTTTTTTTCTGCTGATAAGCGGCAAGTGAATCAGGTCAAAAGCGCGCATGCGCAACACCAGCAACGACAATCATAGAACAACAAAAGCGAACAATTCAGAGTTTTATAACACAGCCCAGGCAACACAGTGTACACATATACACCATATATAAGGTACATATGCACAACTATTTGAAATTCGAGCGATCCGCAGTCGCAGATTACCGCCGTCGACGTTCAAGTCGCATTTTTTGTATTCCGTAGGGCCCCAATGGATCGGATCGTATCGGTTTGGTTTGGTTTGGTTCGGGAGCCGATAAACAGAGAGTACTTGGGTACATACGTGTACTATATGTAAATAAATATGGGGGTAAAGTGAGCAGAAGCCGTCTATGTGGCACAGGTAGCTCAAAGAACCGAAGAAGACTTCGAGTGACCCTGACACAGACCGAAAGATACAGGATTGTACTTATAATTCAACATTGTATCTCTTTAGGTGACTAGCTATCTCTTCATTTTTGAGATACTATCTTCTTTTGCATCTATCTTTTCTGCTTACTCTTTATAAAGTTTATATTTATTTTTATTTAAGGTGAAGCCTTATCATATACTGAAAAATATATCAGTTATAGGACATTGTTTTTATAATTTATGATTTTATATTAGAAATCTATCTTCATATCGCACACTTCTCTATTTTATTTAAAAACTCTTTATCATATTAGAATTGTTCTTAATTAAGAATACCGGAATATATTATAATAAATAATATTTAAACATGTTTTCTATAACCATGTATATTATAAAACTAACTTTTTTATTTTATTTAGAAACCAATGCAATCTGACGTGTATTTTTACTATCATATTTCTCCACATTTTAAAAAATATTAGGCAAATACAATTCTCTCTTTTGAATTTGTATTCTCCGCGTTTCTGGGCATGTGCATTCTCCGTTCTCCAGTGCGCAGAATCCCCAAGCTTCTTCTGCTCCCGCACAGATTTGCAATCTAGTATATCCCTCTCTTTTCCCCAAGTATACCCCTCTCTTTCGCTTTCTTGGGGGCCGTTGCACGTGCGCACTGATATAAAGTTCAAAAATGTGGGTACTTGTTTTTATTTTTTTTGCCTAAGTAAGCAATATTTTAGAGTAAAATAAAGGTTTATCAATTGTTTTTTTCATGTTTTTTTGCTTGCCTCAGGGATTATTTTATGTCGTGTATTTTGAGGGCAATCCAACTGGGGTTTGGTTTTAAGGTAACTTTTGGGTTATATTTTTATTTTTGGGTACTCTTTGGTTAATTTTGGACAAGTTTATAACTTTTGGCACACACTCTTAGTCGCACAGAAAAAAAATAAGCAATTTTTGAAACGAGATTATAGGGCTCCCGCACGAACCACTCGGCACCGCTTTTAGTGGCTCTCTGTGCTCAAGTTCTATTTGCGTTTGCTCAGAAACTCGGAACCCAACGACGGCAACGCGACGGCAGAAAGAGAGGGCGCTAGTGGACGGGAAAGAGAGGGTCCGATGAACCACCCCATGGAGTGATTGCGACAAAGCAGCGACGTCGACGCAGTGAAAAATCAATACTGCGCCCATGCGTCGACATCGCCGCCTGAGATGGATATATATAAAGTCAGGCAGGCCGTCTTCCTCTGTCTATATAATTTCTATGAGAATAACAACCTTCTACCCCGCATCTGGAAATGATGCCTCGAAAAACCCTGGAGCGGTGCAACGATACCGTGGCCCAAACAAATGCCAAAATAAGCCAAATATTATACATACCCCTTTGAACTCCCCCACTTTCGGGCAGAAGAGCACCACTATATGGACTAACAACACCCCCGTCGGGAAATTGAGAGCAGAGATTCGGGGACTGGAAAATACCACCCCTGAATATCCAGAACTTTCACCACCAGCAACAAATACACACGCAAACTCGACGAGCTAGAATTTTAACCCATGATAACAACACTGCCTTATCCCGTTTTTTTTCTATTTTTATTTAAACCACCACGCATGCACTGCTCGCACCACCCAACCACCCTCTATATTCCAGAGTTCAGAAGGTGAAACACCACCGTCCCACCTCCTTTTAGGGGTTGTAAGTCCGTTTCACTTGCGCGTGCCAAACATCCGGAACAGTGGAGGACCCAAAAAAAGTGAACCCACTTCTGGAACTGGGCTGAAATCAGAAATCAGACAGACAGATGATGAAGGGATAGGTATGACATGGATTCGGATCGGCAACGGGCAACCTGATTTGGTTCATCCCTTACACTGGATGCTGGAAAAACTAACTCAATTCGAGGCAGGGGGATCTACTGGTTTGGTTTGTAAAGGCAATAAGAGTAGCTGACAAGTTTTCACTTTTATAGGAACATATATGAAATGTAGGTATCTAGTAGGGAAACTCTCGGTATTAGCTATATTAAAACAAAAATAAATAAAGCATCGTTTATGGTCAAACGTATTCGAGTAATATAATGGTTTAATATTGGTAAAAGATTGTAGACAACCCCACAGCTTCCTTTTCTTAATTTTAAAACCAAGGATCGATGTTTTGTAAATTAAAATAAATTATAATTTGATTATAGAAGATGTATGATTAATGTCCATTGCAGAAACCTATTGGCATGGTCATTAGTGTATTGTGTTCCCTCTGTTTTTTTTGTGGGGTTGCGTGCGCAGCGTTTTTCTCTTCCGTGGGATTCGCTGGAAGTACTGCGCCAAGTGCCCTGAGATGCATGCTACAAGCGCCAAGCTATAAGCCGATGTCAAGGCAACTGAGCACCCAACTCACTCAGTTACTATTATATCAACTATTTTGGTATTATCAACGAGTAAACATTTAAAACGATTTAAATTGGATTTATTTAAATAATGGTTATGTTACTTTAAACTTAACAGAACGCTAAGAAAACTGTTTAATTTAATGGTAAGGTCACAGTGCAATCACAGGGTCACACTGAGCGCTTGCGCATAAGGTCACATTGTTCTAAGCTTTTTATTCGATATTTTGGGAACATAAGATATTGAAAAATGTTTTAGTTATTTAGTAATTTTTTTTAAACGTTCAACGATTTTTAAATAACTGAGCGCTTGCGCATAGGGTCACACTGTCTAATCTACTTAACCTCTGTCTCTCGTTAACCCTATAATGCACATGTTCCTTTGCTGCAAACTATTCTATTTATGTTTTTTAGAGAGGGAGCTTTTGGAAATGCTTTGGATTTTCTTCACGTGTGTGTGCCTACAACTCCCACTAGAGCAAACTCCCAATGCGTCAGCGCAAACATAGCCACACAGACGCATCAATCACCCACACTCGTGCAATCAGTATGCTGGAAAATCCGAATCAAAATTGATATCAGTGCGGTTGGTACAGTGGACAAATAGCCTCCTGATATGTAGTTTTACCAATCTTGGTACTTGGCACATCATATAAAACATAAAAGTCAATCTTTTAATTGCAGAAAAAAAGTTAATGTTAAGCCAACATAGTTTTTTACGGAATTATAGTGCATCTTGTATTATTTCTTCCATTTGAAAATGTACTAAGTTCAATACATTAATACTTTTATTAATGTCTAAGCTACTTTTTTTCATTTTAATTTATTAAAAATTTGGTGCTCCGCAACATAAGGCAATTTATAAAGTCATAGAAATGTACGCTGCCACTTAAGATCTATACAATACTTAATTTCTATATCATCTATAACAACTGCTCTTAGTTTTTCTAAGTCAAAGAGGTTCTTCAAACAAATTATGTCAGCGAAGAATCGACCCCACAGTGCGCCCCTCCTCTCTTTTTCTCTCTCTCCCGCAAATATATAATCGATAGCAATTTTCTGAGCACTGCTCTCGCTATCTCCCCTGTCTCTCTTTTGCCCCCTCGCGTTCTGTCCGTTTGTACTTGACGCCAGAGTCTACAAAAACAATGATAACAGCGAAAAAGCGAAAGAAAGGCGAGAAAAAATAAGTTACGCATGCGGCGGTTCGTTTTTCGCGTAGCGGCGACGGCGCACCAACTACATCGCCCACCTACCACCCACTTACAAACACTCTTATAGGAACTATGTATAAGCACTATAAAATAAGTTACAGTGGCGGCAGAAAAAAAAACACTTTATGTTTAAATCAAAATACAAAGAAAACTTCTGGGTAGTATTTGACCATTTGTTACATATATTAATTGAGCATTAATTCAGAATAATTTTGTAATACATAAATTAATAACGTGAATCTTAACTTAAAGAAACCTCGTGTTATAAAAATGTCCTATTTTATCTGCCTCAGCTGTAATTAAAATAATGCCTGTCCACGTTTCCGTTTTCCAATTGGAACTGTACTTTTCAAGCCACCCCCAAAACACGAAGAATCCCATCACACTGACGTCCTCGAATATTGGGAATGAAAAATCTGAACGAAGGCTGCTGTAAGCTAGCCATCTCGCTCTAGCTTT